TCGCCACGCTGAAGGTATAGCTTTAGAATGCTTATTCGTAAATCGTTTCGTTCAATGCACTTAACCTATGTTACCAACCCTTCCGTCTACTCAGTGTTCAAGTTCAGTTATAATTTTTACAAATATATTTTATAATGCTATTTCGACACCTTTCCTAGCGACAATTAAACATTTTCCATCTTGCGTTTACATCAAATACAGTTCATTAATTTACAAGAGAAGATGGGCTCGATATTATGTCACCACTTTATTTTATTAACAAATATCGCAAATAATTTGTTTATTTTTGTTCTAAATTGTGCCTCCTCCTTGGCCAATTATCCATTGTTCCTTCATTGCCTCTTGCTTGGCCGATTATTCTTTTTCATCATTGCCTTTTGCTTGGCCACTTTTTCCTTTTTCAGCCTTGCCTCTTCCTTGGCCAATTCTTCATTGATGTTTACATTCACTACTCGTAACACGCGACGTCCGTGCAGGCCACGTTGAAGGCCGTTCTTCATATTCCATTCTCTTTGCAATTTCTTGGAAGGAAATGGCTCCAACGACTGCTTTTCTATGCAGTTGTAAAGGTGCCAGCGCATTTTATTTCTATCATATTCAATGAGGCAAGGATTCTGTCCAAACACAATGGATGTGGCGAAGGCGCATACGAAGAGTCCACAACTGCTACTGTCCTTTTGCTTTTGTACCGACAACTGATACACTCGCACCGTTTCGCATTCTCGCATGTATAATTTTGCGAGGAATAATTTTACGTCGTCTGACGGTTCTGCGGGCAATGAACAAAGTAGGTTAACAGAGCATATTCCTTCGTCTGCATTGACGACATTCTCTGATTGGGAAATGTTAGTGATTAATTGCCAGTGAGAACCAGAACCTTGGGCCCTTTCGTACCCTTCCTGAATAACTTTTATTTCACAGCTTTTATATGACGTATTAATAATTTGTATGAACAACTGTTCAGGATGGTTCAGTGCGGTTGGATTGAATACATGGAGCGGGGTTGGCACATTAATGTCAGGAGCATGGGATCTCAATAGCGGGGTTATAAAGTCGAGTTCGTCGCTAGTTAGATATACACCAGGGGTTAAGATTCGAACGATATTTTCTGCAGTTAATCCAGACGATGTGCGTTCGACTGGTTCAAATGTATCGCTTTGATCGTCATTAGTTATGTCAATAATTTTAGTTGCTTTATTATATTCTTTCGCCTTTGAAATTTTCTTTTTACCTGCAAAATTGGCTACTTTTATGTTTAATTTAGCTAGCACGGCATTGATTTGCCCTGTTAATGGACTACCTGTTCCAAAATTTTCTTCATTTCCGTTACCGTATTTTTTTCGAGTAATTAGTGGTTTGTCGTCCTGTAATGTTTCCTCGACAGGTGTTGCGTCAACTCGTGAGCTTGAATACGTTACGACGTCAGGACTCTCTGGGAGGTTATTTGTTGGTGACTTTTCATCATTTTTGCTAGTAGCAGATTCAAGTTTCATTCTCTTCACTGCATCAAGTCTTACAAATCGCTTCTCGGCAATTATCTGACCGACATCGCTGTGTTTTCTTTTTGTGGGTTTCTTTCGTTTGCACCATTTTTCACGTGGTTCGGCGTTTACTTGAGTGTTTCCTTTTCGTTTTCTTTTCTGGTGATTCTCAGAGGCGCATTCGGCCACACGAAGTTTACTCTCAGTGTACATCGTTTCAACAAATGCACTTACAGTGGTTATCTTCCCCCGCAGTATCTTTTGCTTTACAATGCCGTGCCAGGACTCCACCAAGCCATTTGTGATCCTTGGTCTATACAAACTGGACCACAAAGGTGCCAGACTCATAATGAAGGTCAGGAAGTGTTCATTTAACTTTTGTGAAAAAAGAATGTTCTTCTTCTCGCCAGACGTAGGCACCGATGAACGTACGTCCTCTGCTATTTTGCTGAAAGTTCTTCCACTGATTGTAGTTTGGCGCAATGTCTTGCTGTCGGGATGTTGAAGCTCAATTTCATCTACGTTAATGTCTTCTTTTACTTCCTCAACTTCTTCGTCAACGTCCAAAGACTTGACAATTTTTTCAACGTTTTCATGCAAGTATTCGCTCTGCAATAGCGTTGCCAAATCTTTGTAAGCTTGGCACAGGATTTCTTTCGTTGTAGCAGCGACCATGATTCCAAAAAGAATTTTAATTGGATCTTTGTCCCGTGCTCGCAGCAGAGGTAAATGTCTGTTGCATTGGCGAGAGACATCCTTCGTGAAGTGCGAATGGCATAGTTTGATGATAGGCTTAAAATTGTCACACGGATGTTTTGTCCATAAATTGTCCAAGTATTCGTTTAGTGAGCCGAAATTGAATGCAGAAACTATAGCGTTTATGTTTGCATAGCTATGGTCGGTTACTATTACGTCAATAATTATAGGTCTCCCATGTACCTTCTTGAAGTTATATTGTAATTTTCTTATCATCGCGTGGAATTTCTCTTCTGTGTTCACTTGACTAAGCTGGCTTATTGCAGTGAGTGGAGTCTTGTTGTTGTCACTCTGAAATACAAGTGCCGTATACAAGAACGGATGTTCATGTTTTCCACTTATAAGGCCACCTGTGCTGTCCATATGAACCACTAGGCGAGAGCATTTATCGAGTTCCAGTAACTCACCTTCACACTGCATTATTACGGTTTTTGATTGAGTATCTATTTCTTGCATCCACCCCTTTACGCATTTGCTCTCTGTGTCTCCAGCATGCAGCGTTCCCACTCTTTGACACAAGTCGATCATTGGGTTTGGGTCATAGCTGGATTTTTTTTCTAGTCTTTCCTTCATTTTTTGTATTGCGTCACGCGACAGAATTTCCTCAGAGTTGTTCATATCTTTGTCTCGTTGATGTAGGTGGACGTGTAAGGTACCATATTCCCTTGCCTTCAAAGCCATTTCAGCTCGTTTTAATTTTGCCAATTCACGTTTATTTATAGGGTGCGGCTTTGCAGAGGATTGTTTTTCTAATAGAACAAGGTTCATTATATTTGTATTTTCATCGTGGCCTTCGAAATGTACTATTCTTTGATGCAATACACACCCCTTTATCGCACAATTGATGTAAAAGGAATGTGATGGCTTTATCCGTGTACTTTCTTTACTTCTATCCGTTGTCTTGAAGCCACTGAATTTTAATACGCAATTTGGCTCAACGTTTTTCAGGGCCTGTAGCAGTCGTTGGTGTTCGGTAGTGTTCGACATGAACACTTTAATTTTTTGCGATTCTGACTCGAAGCACAAATGAAGTTCTTTTTTAATACAAAATAGCGATGACGGGTACTGGGCCAGATAATGGACCGTTATTTCCTTCATTGTTTTGAAGGTTGCGTCGGCTGTAGGTGTGTCGACTGCAGGTGTGTCGGCCGCTGGGGCGTCGGCTGCAGGTGTGTCGGCCGCTGGTGCGTCGGCTGCAGGTGTGTCGACTGCAGGTGTGTCGGCCGCTGGGGCGTCGGCTGCAGGTGTGTCTTGATGAGTGAAGAAAGGGATTCAAACTTTTAATTAATAGTGTATTAAACCTAACTGATATAATTATGATTGTGTCAATTTTTAATAAAGAGGTATACAAAAATTTTTCTTTTTCAAATCACTATATTAACCATTTTAATGGCATTATGGAGCATTGAGTATTTTAAATTCAAAACCTGGATATGTAAAAATATAATATTGAACAATGCCTAGGTGGTTGATCAGACAATTGGGAACTAATTTCTATGAGATAATCCTACAATTCTTCTAACGGCATCCGGACAATTGGAAATTATCGGTCGTGCAAGGCCCATTTAACAATTTAAATAACTATTGTGGAGCTATCGCAACTCGAGACTTGGCAAACACACACGACTAACATTATATAACGTACCCAATGTATGAACACCGTGCGCTTCTTCGAAACTATTGCGTCAATGTTCAAGTTTTCTCATCTTAACCCAAAATTTTGGATATTTATTTAATTTTGATTATTCATAAACTAGCGAATTTACAGCAAATACTTATGTTCCAAATTGCAAGCAGATCCGTTACGTATTGAAGGAGTTATGAGTGTTTCGGTCGATCAAAAAATACGTTTATTAGTTTTAATTAAAAACTAATTTATGAAAAAATCTGTAATAACTCCTGCCGCAGCGTATCGATAATAACTACTCATATTCCAAAATTCGAGCAAATCCGTTCAGTATTATAGAAGTTATGAGTCCTTCGGTTGATTAAAAAATACGTTTATTAATTTTAATTGAAAACTAATTTATGTAAAAATCTGTAATAATTCCTGCCGCAGCGTATCGATAATAACTACTTATATTCCAAAATTCAAGCAAATCAGTTCAGTATTGTAGGAGTTATGAGTCCTTCGGTTGCATAAAAAATACGTTTATTAATTTTAATTGAAAACTAATTTATGTAAAAATCGGAAATAATTCCTGCCGCAGCGTATCGATAATAACTACTTATATTCCAAAATTCAAGCAAATCAGTTCAGTATTATAGAAGTTATGAGTCCTTCGGTTGATTAAAAAATACGTTTATTAATTTTAATTGAAAACTAATTTATGTAAAAATCTATAATAATTCCTGCCGCAGCGTATCAATAATAACTACTTATATTCCAAAATTCAAGCAAATCCGTTTAGTATTGTAGGAGTTATGAGTCCTTCGGTTGAGCTGAGTCCGCAGGCGAGTTCGCAGGCGAGTCCGCAAAAGTGTCGATTCAGTTGTTCACAAGTTAAACTCTTCTGCTTGATCTGACTTCAAAAGGTTTTAATATAATAATTAATCGGTCGGCAATGATACAAAACTGATTTACACTAATTATTTCCTTTATATTACTCAAATTTTCAAGCACCCGAAAATTCACCATCGAATTAATCATCGTCGCTTTCAATGTAAAATATCCGTCGTAAAAATCTATTCCGATTCGGAAGAAGAGCTGGCGGTGAACTACTCAGAACTAGCTACGAAAACGCGTTGCACTCAAAATTTTGAGCTCACAAATAAATATTGGACTAGTAACAAATTATCTAACTTAAATTAGACTCTGTTGACTCCAAATATATAAACAAATGAAATCTCACAGCTGTATACTTTCTGTAAATGTTCTCCACGCATTGGAATATAACTGCCTGATTAAAATTAAATTGCTCTAAAATAATTGGAGCTATGCATTTTTGTGCTGGAAAACATGGTTGAATGCTGGAATCTACCCAGGCCCAGTCGACATTATCCGGACTCAGAGGCGGACTCGGGAGCGTATAGTCAGCATACTTCAACGCAAAACGCGCCAACCTCGAACCTTCCCAGTCCCCAGTACGAGCCAGCCAGCCTAAACAAAGAATAGCTCCATCAAACGATCAGGTATTTTTCTAATGATTATTCGATTTATCTATTTCGATGTTTTGCATTGACTTATCGTTGAAGGGATTTTTTAATATGTGCGCTGATAAACCACAGGTTAGTCGTTACTGGAGTTGTCGACTGTTGTGATGTCGTCATTGTCGTGATAGTCGTCCACGACATACCTACTAGATCGTAGATGACTCTCGCGAGTCTCGTCTCTACTTCGTCACTCGTCAGTATCCTGTCCCTCAAGGCCCAACCATCTGTCTATAGAAATTGTTTTTGTGCCCGTCTGATGAGAAAGTGTGTACTTTATTTGTACTTTTTTATAGTACAACTACCTAGCCTAAGTACATACCTAGGCTACTACATATTGATAATAGTACATATCATAGATGAAGATTCTCATTCTCTCCAAGTTTCATACCTACTTATTTTCATTTTTTGCCTGGTGCCCTTGTAAATCCAGGTTCAATGGTTCATCGTTAAGAAACCGCAACTGTTATTAGTCCTGTAAATGTAATGTCCCGTCCATTGATAGGACAATTATCACAATAATAATATATCAGAGTTTAGTGTGCACTGTGCAACCAAAACCAATTCCAATTCTAACCTAGTGACTAGGTACTCCACCTGCCATTTATTTATTGCTGCCAACAGGGGAAACAACCCTAGGCCTTGGCCACAAAATCACTGGCTGTATTCAGTAAGTCTGATGACTGATGAGAACCGTGACTTTGAAGGTTTTTAATAATAAAACATTGACAAAATCAAAAACATTCTTTCCTGCCTGGCGGCACAGGTGCATGTTTGGTAGGTACTACCTAAATTGGTCTTGAGATGAGAGAAACTGAGAAAAGGTGTAGTAAATCAAGGTGTTGAAGGCCAACTGGTTACTAGGCTGGGTTTCAATTTGTGATTGGGAAAAAACAATCAAAATTGTGGATGAAGGTGATCCTGTTCATTCATTTTATATACCGTAAAATGGGGTTAGCTACTTTGACGGTTTGACCGGCTGGGTAACTTTGACCACTTTTCATTTTTTTAACAAAAAACCCCAAAACTCAAAAACGATTTGACATAGAAAAATTTTGTCAATGGCCATCAAAGGCCTAATACTAAATACTGAGGCTACATAACACAATAGAAAGATTTAAAAAGTTTGCATATCTAATAGGTTAAAAAATTAATAATGTGACCCACAAAAAATAGCTATTATTTAAAGCTTGTTGGTGTACCACCCTCCAAATATTTTTTATTTTTTGGTAAAATAACTCCAGGTTTTGATGCATTGTAATAGAACTCTTCTAGTTACATATGCAATATTTATGTTTGATACACCTATTAATGTTTTTTCTTTATGTTTCAGACTCTACAGAGTCTTATATATGGTAATTTTAAGTTAATTTCCAAACCAGTCAATGTTACCCCATCATGGCTGCCATTAGGTGGTCACATTTTGTCCATTGAGGGGCGGTGCCCCCCATTTGCAAACTATGACACTTTCCTAAAATTTGTCTATTGCATATGTAACTAGAAGAGTTCTACTACAATGCACCACAACCTGGAGTTATTTTACCAAAAAATAAAATTGATTTTACCACCCAGTCAAAGAAACCCCAAGAGCTGGAGTAGCAAAGACCATCAATTTTTTGAAATTACATCAAAACTATGAGAGGCAGGAGCCAGCAATTTATGGTGAGTAAAGCTAGAGTATAGACCTGTATTTTGCATGTTTCAATTTAAGTTTAACTTATCTAGTAAAAAATGGCATCATTTAAAAAAAAAAAGTAGTCAAAGTTATCCCATTTTACGTACCGGCATAATCACCATGCTCAGCTGACAGCTCACCTTCATGTGACCATGTCATGTGTATGTGACTATGTGTTAAGTGGTTCATCAGGTCATATGCCTCAGCACTGTTTACTAACTTATCAAGTTCACTATGAACAATTTTTAAATTCTAGGTGGAGATTTATTGTAGAAACTATGAAATGATGAACATTTAGGATTTAAAATATGATAAACTGTTTTTAAACAAATACTGGGTGTGGGCGCAGTGAGGGTGGATATTTTTGTGATGTGTGGTACTAAGTATTCTCCCCCAGGCCCCAGCATCTATGAGAATGGGGGGAGGGTTTTGTTTGACTTGTGATGTGAGGTCATAGCATTCTTTGTGTTTCAGTTGCCATAATGCCATTGAGCCTGCCATGATTAGTACCACCTCCAAGCCTCCAACACTGACATGGCTGTCTAAGACGTAAAAAAACCTAAGTCTAAGACCTAAAAGACCTAAAACCTAAAATTTAAAAATTGTTCATGGTGATTGGTGAGTTCAATTTATTTTGTCAATCATTTCCAGTACCTACAATGAATACATTTCCATGCATTTTTCCTCCACTTCATTACTTGTTGCAGTATAATATTAGTGCATTTCTTGATTTAATTGAAAAGCTTAAGTGGACTAGACTGTGTCCATGATCTCCATGTCATTCCATGATTCTATAAATTTCAGTGACTTGGCCACTGATTCTGTTCCTGCCAGTAAACTGGAGCTCAGACAACTGTTGCAGCAGCAAGTGGTGTATTTGTAGGCATGTTCACTCACTCTGTCCTCCTCTTCGAAGTCTTTTCATGTTTGGCTAGCGCTAGGCAATGGAATGTTATACAACCTGAACATTCTGTCTTGATTTATAGGGTTAAATACAAGTCAGAAATAAGCAACTTGTGACTTTACTTAATTGGGGACTGAAAATCATGAGAATATCTACAATTTTCTTCTCCATGTATGCTGAATTAGATATAAAGTTCTTGGATGGGCTAGGTTGACCCTCATTCAGATTTTATTCCCACAACTCAGGCCAGATAAAGAAATACTTTGACAGTTGCCCTGGTTGTTTTTTAAACCACCAAGTTTGTTCATTGTTTGCAAAAGTCATAGAGGCCTTTGAAAAGATGGATGAGACGCTTTTTGAATCAAATCATAATCAACCAAATAAAAATATGCTCTGGTGAAAAGCAAGAATAATAAATATGCTCTAGCTATAAAAACCATTTACATACTAAAAATATGCTAAGCCGCCGTATATTTTTTCTACAAGCAATCCTTTTAAGTGGAGAAATAACATTACAGTATTGTGAGGTTTCCTAATATAATTATAGATTAGTAATGTATGCAAATTATTTTTTCAAATCATGTTAATAGATTACAGTTAACAGAAAAGTTAATTTGATGGAGTAAAGACTTTTCTGGTGTTCTGTTGTTCATCGTTTGATGCAAAGTTACGCTCTATCCAGAGAATGAGAGGCAAGGACTTTTGGACTCATTCAATATTGTTTTTATTACAGAAAAACAGGAAGTAAAAGAACCAGGCATGACCAGCTTGCTGCTTAATGCTTGCACAGAAGCAGCTTCCATGACAACTGCCGCTTCTGCAACGCCCATGGATTTAGACCAAGAATTGTTGGCACAAGGGGAGAAGAAATCATGTTTTTCAGTCTCTGCCGCAGCTGAAAACAATGTCGCTGTAGCGCAAACATGCCTGACTGAAACACAACGTACAGTGCCTACTACACAGCTTCATAAAGAAACTACATTAGATATTAGCATAAGAAACAATAAGCTTAATGCGGAAGAGAGCTCAGCCGAATCTCGAGGCGCCGGCGCTGATCAGAAGGTATCAACTGTTGTTTCAAATCCAGATTTTAATGACAAGATTGACTATAGTCTGGCAACGTCATACTGGAAAACCATCCCAGCCACTGTCAATGGAATGCTTGGTGGTTTTGCTCGTATATCCACCACTGACATCAATGGATCCAACACTCTTCTCAAGTGGATCTTTAGCCAAGAAGTGCATCCTGGACGCGGCCGGTGTGTTGACTGTGGAGCAGGCATTGGCAGAATTACTCAGCGACTTTTACAACGGAATTTTGGCAAGGTGGACTTGGTAGAGCAGTCTCCTGAATTTGTTGCAAAAGCTAAAGAAGTCTTTGCCAATAACAGCAAAATTGGTGAAATTCATTGCATTGGGTTACAAGACTTCGTGCCAAAATCAGCAACATACGATGTGGTATGGATGCAGTGGGTATTGGGCTACCTTAGAGATGACGACCTTGTGGCTTTCTTCAGGAGAATGTCTAACTCGCTGAAACCGAACGGCGTCATCGTCGTTAAGGAAAATTTCTCATCGGACGCTGATGACAGTTCTGCAGAAGTTATACATGATGAGGCCGATTCTTCAGTCACCAGGCCTATGGCGTTGTTTTTGCAGCTAACGTCCAAAGCTGGACTTACTTTGGTTCGATTGGTGCAGCAGAAGAAGTTCCCCCGGCAACTCTTTAAAGTATACATGTTGGTGCTAAAGCCTGAGAAGAAAGATAACTCCAGAACTCCGTAGTTTTCAATAATTGCCAAACTTGGGACTTTTTCTCTAAATCTAAAATTGAATTAATTGGTGAGGGACCGTAGTCGAACATTTGTGAATTAACCCTAAAAATTTTTAGTGGGCACACGCAGTTGTTCGTTCGTATAAATGTTATCCAGGTTTAGGAACTATACAAAATTTAACCTTATTTTTTGCGTAATAATTACGTTATGTCATTTGTTATCGTGAATTTTCGAAGTATTTTACAATTATCTGAGATTGCGACTTATCACCAATCCGGTATGTCCCTATGTGATACTTGACAAGTTCTTGGAGGTGGAAATAAATTTAATTTTATCTTACGTTTGATTCAACTTCTTTTCCTTCACGCGCGCACCGCTGAAATTTGTCTCTGACGCCAATGCAATTGCTATTTTAAAGTGCTTATGTTGACGAACCATATTTGGCCGAATGCCGAATTTTTGGAAGAATCAAATATCAGTTCTCACCTAGAAAGACTTTATTCGTTATTAATGCATCACATTATATACATACGATACTATATCTGGTTCACATTTTCGATATTCACAAATAAATTACTTATATTTATGCGTATTATATGTATCAGTTATATATATCATCAGTTAAAACTCGACAGAGAAAAACTATGGTAAGACTACAACGCAGTGCAAGGTGCTCTGCGGGAGCAGTGGCTTCGAGAAGAGGCGAGGTCTGAGGAGATGCAGTCGCTCCAGGCATATCAATGATAGAGAAACCAGACATATTATGTAAATGAATATGAACAGAACTTATTGGTAGCATTTTTTTTCTTTGAATACGGAACAAGACTTGCACGCCTCAATTTAAACATCATTTATTTTGGAGAGTTTAGTTCATGCATTAATATTACGGTCCGGACGCTTGTTGTCCGTCATCCATTTTGCAAGTACCTAAGCATTCAATTATTTTCAATAACGTATAAGTGAAACTATTCAGCCACCGAGCACCAAAACATATGATGAAACGTTCATCTTCTTGAAGAATACCAGGTCGTCTGGTACAGTATGGTATGTCGCACGATAAATTAAATAGGTTGGACGTAATTTGGATGAGCGACCTAAAGCATTTGTCGCAGCGAGGGCGTGAGAGTAGAGAGCGCGCGCCAGCTGGGGAGGGAGGCGGGAGCCCTGCACTCGAGCCTCTCACATACGACCTCCTCAAACCTTTGTATCCTCACGAGCTGAGGTAAGCGGCTACACTATAAACTGCTCACACGTCCAACTCTCCGCATCCTTACTGTTAATTGATGCTATAATATAACATGAAATCAGCCATAACGTCATCATGAAGAGCAGGCACACGGACCAAACGTGAAGAATTACAATTTAGTCTCCCATGGAATACATTCGACGTTCTCAACTGGTCCGGTGGCGACGTGCGCGGAGCAACAGGGGAGATCGCTCCGCTCACAGCGTCCAGACTTCAGTCCACTCGTATGGCATTAAAAAAATGACTTCCCACAAATATTCAAACGAGTAAACACTCAAGTGACCGCATGTCACTCTAGCCTACTCATATAAACGGTATACCGATAAGAACTAAACATAAAACCGAGCTTTGACTGACATTAGATGACGAGACACACTATTCATCATGAATATACAATCGCAAGCATATCCCAGTGAATTCGGTGACCAAAAATATGAATGGATAACAGGCTAAGATTCCCATTTGGAATTTTAACAAGAATTTTTGACGCTCGTGGTCCACCCAGGGAGCGGGGGAGGTACTGCCTGAAGTGAAGCACATCTCGCGTCTTCGACGGGCCACACCCAACACATTCAATTTTCAAGTCATGGCAAAACGATTATTGACGCAATATCGTTCAATATTGACGCAATATCGTTCAACATAGACGAGTTAGCATAGACGCAATATTGTTCAACATAGACGCAATATCGTTCAATATTGACGCAATATCGTTCAATATTGAAGCGATATCGTTCAAAATTGAAGCGATATAGTTCAAAATTGAAGCAATATCGTTCAAGAAGGAAATTCGGCTATCACAACACTGGCAAGTGAAGACGCCGAGGGAATGGAAATTCGTCGCCGCAGTCATCCCAACAACCACATCCTCGACTCCTAGCTCCTGCTGAACTAACAATGAAGTATTACAGATAGTGCGATAATGCTTAAATTAGAGTGTCAATAGAGTGCACTTTATTTCATACACTTTCGGATTCTCGATTATGGGCTCACAGAACACCAGCAATAAATAATGTTCACAATGCTCGCCTGTGGTCCGATTTGATACACTGACGAAATAGAGGCATGAACAATTGAACGAACATCCAGTGCAGAACCACCTTGATATTGTCCTCATGACAGAGTTTGTTGTTAGCTGGCGCAGATGAAATACGATGCAATTGTCACGAATAACTAGACAGTTCACATTAGAAATACTTTGGTACAACGTGCCGGAATTTTCATGTTCACATATTTTCTTTGGGTTGCACAGATTTTTTTTTCACAATGAGCGTCGCGCGGCAATTTTTCACAATTCAGAAGAACGCACAAGTCTCGTTTTTGAGACCTACATGAACAGCTGAAAATCGTTCACTATTCCATCATTGCACAAATTGTAAAGTTATTGTTTGGGTCAAATACATGGAGACCACGGAAGAATTTAAATGCAGCAATACAGTCCAAGGGAATTAGGATGGTGAGAGAATCCCTCGATACTATGACGCAAAACATACCTGAATAACAAGACGCAATCGTCGCTAATATACGGTGACAAAAATACACATACCTATGGGTCATAGTTTGAAGGGAGGGGAAGACATGGTCATGCACGTACAAGTAAAGAAAGCATGAATGCCAGGTCAAGATAGCGACTACATGGGTCATAAATACTCGGGCTAGAGAGGGCAGGGAGTCTAGCAAGGTTCTAAGTCCACTACAAAGAAGTGACAACTATGGGAGTCTGTCGCTACATATACGGTGACGCACAAATACTTGTTCCCTTCTACACCATCTTTGCTCAAAGAGAATGGAACTGAGCTAAGCACAACAACAGATAACTAGTTAGAATTAGAAATGTTCTACCAAAAAAGTGGGAGGCCTTGAGAAAGAGGAATAAAATTGACAACACGCATGTGTGCCAGGTTTATGATTCGATTTTAGAGCAAGTAACTTGAATATCAACTCACAAATAAAATAAAATTATTCTACGTCTTGAGTTGCGCTAGAGCTGTGATTGGAATGTAAGGATACACTAAAGTATTCAGGTTCAAGTCGAAGAACACGCACCGAAGAAAACATGGACGCAGAAACGATCACAGTAATTTTATCCGTTGAACCAAACAAAAAAAAAAAAAAAAATAACGTAACACAACGCCAATGGTTTTAGCACTTTGAACTCTGCTTACACTTTTCGTCAAGAAGAAGCAGCATGAATTTAAAATATACGGATTTAAATTAGCCCCTCTTTGCACTTTCAAGACTAAATAGATTCATGACCAGCATTCTAATTGCGACACAACCTTGGGAAAAATTAGCCTATGCAATATCGGACAGACGGAGATGTGATATTCTAACATGCCTTTTCCCTCACAGTATTTTAAGTGGAGTGTCTAACATCCCACAAGTCGATCGTCGGCAAAAATGAGAAGATATCTGATTTCAAGGCATCAATTTTCACGACTTTGACTGACGGTTTTCAAGACTTGGCCACCAGAATCAAAGCTAGAAGAGAGCAAATATCGAGGAATCAATTTTGGTTAAACTTCAAGACTCATTTTTACACGAACGAAGTTGAAGCAATGCAGGTAGGTTTTGATGATAGAAATAGCACCACTCACTTGCCCTAAGCACACACAGAAACCCTCTACTCTTGCTCTAGTTACTTAATAAGACTAAGATCACTAGTTAACCTAAGTTAACTATGATCACTAGTTAACCCAAGAAATGACTAGACTTGCAGCACGGACTATTATGCTCACAGCGTGAGCCTTGGGATAAAATGCATTCTTTCCGTCAAAAATTAAACTAGTCCACAAAAATTATTAAGAAAAAGTCGGGACTGTGATATTTGAAAATAAATAACACAAGTCCAGATGATGTGACGTAGACACGTATTAGATTATTTGCTATTGATTACAACTCCACTAATTGTTCAATTCTTGCAACTCGAAACTAAGCAATTCTGTCGAGGGCCTTAGACAATGCAAACGAATGACACGCTGTGGTTATGGCTAGTAATTTAGGCTCCAGAAAGCCTCATTGAAGATCAATTCCAATACACAAGAAAGAGAGATATGCATTGAAACTTGGTGAAACCGAATTTACGAGTTTTCAAAGATAACAGATGAACAAATACAAAGATACATCTATTCACGACAATGGAATATTTCATGCAGCATCAAGAGACGAGCAGAAGTTCTTCTTTGCAAAAGAAGTTCTTTCTTTCTTATTATTCGAATAAGTGAGGATGAACTATAGCAAGAAAAGACCGTTGCTCGTGGCGCACGCAATTTAAAAGTTTTAGGCACAAAAATTTGCTTCTTGACAAGACCGACAAAAGCTTCACTCTTCATTATCCATAGTAGGAGATATGTACAACTAAGGGCACAAAACTCTCCATTAAAAAATAATTTGGTGACGACGACCACGAACAATCACGAAAAAAGATTTCTTAAGAAAAAGAGATCTTACCATTAAACTATATACTGATTATACTCTACTCATTACTTCCGCTTGAATTTCAGTGCAGAACCAGCAAAGTAAAGAATTGGGTGGCTATGCCTAACGTATTGAATCAAAACCCGATATTAATTGTGCAAACTCTCACATGTTATAAAGTGTTGTTCAAGATCACGATTTCCGAAATTGAACATGATGCATGATCAACCGTGGCATTAGTCTTCAGTGTAATTGGCAGTTTGGCAAATGAAAAAAATGGTAATTGGAATATGCCATCCAAAAAATTTGGGCACCCAGCCAAGTTTTGGCAGCCAAGCCCCAGCAGAGGGCATCTTCCAGTAAAATTCAAGAATTGACCGCACGAAGAACAAATATATACTGGTAGATCAATTTGCTTTCATATTGACCAAGTCATTAACTTAGTACATACATGGTATGTTCAGAATTGTGATCCGTGCATTGTAAAGCTTGGGTGATAATGCGATTAAAATACGCACTCAGCCGAGCGAGAAAGGTGAATAGGATGGGACGGCGACCGTGCGAGCTTCTTTTTGGGTAATTTATCAAGTAACTTCTGAAGCGAAGCAAAGTCGGGTCGATCTTCTGGCTTGTAGGCCCAACACTCCATTAGGATGTCCTTAACGTCACGGGAGGCCTGAAGATGAGCCAGAGAAGGTTTGATACCACGGCCCACTTGCCATATGATGGCCTCTGGAGGTAAGCCTTTGTGAGGCCATTCATTGCAGAGCAGCTCAAACCACACGGTGCCATAAGCGTAGACGTCAGTCCACGTGGTGTGAGGCAGAGCAGCAGGTTGGGGGGAGGATGCCTGCAGCGACCTCATGAGCTCGGGCGACAAGTAACACAGCCACCCAGCAGGGATGCTAAGCCAACTACCAACACGTGCATTTCGGCACAGCCGTGTCAAGTTCACTAGACCAAAGTCTGTAATAACTACTTTTCCATTCTCGTAAAAAATGTTCTTGGTTTTTAAATCTTTGTGAACGATGCCTTTGGCGTGCAAGTAACCCATACCTTGGGCTACTTGCTGAGCGATGTTGATAGTTACGCTTAAAGTGAACTTATCTTTGAGAATGTGGATATGTTTATAAAGTGTGCTGCCTTTGCACAAACTAGTGATGATCGCTAGTCGAGGCAGCTTCATGCAAGCACCCATGAAGAGCACGAGGTTCTGGTGACGCGTTTTCCGGAAAGTCGAGACTTCTCTCTTGAAGGCCTCGAGAGTGCACTGATCATTACCATGCTCCATGTGAAGCTCTTTGATCGCTACCTGACCGTGCCAGTTGCCGGAATAGACCGTGCCAAAACGACCGTGTCCAATGACTTGCCCCTTGTCCAGTTCGTCGTAAGGAATGTGCCACTCTCGTAGTCCTTGAGATACGCTGTTCTGACGGCTACATCCCTCGTTACTCATAATGCCAGAAATGCTGCCACTGCCGTAACTGCCGCCCGCGCCTCCGCCGACACTCCCGCCATCGCCAACGCTGCCCACACCTCCGACGCTGTCTATCAAGCCGTCAGAGATGGTCGAGTCTTGCGAGTCAACTCGCTCTGCTACGGTACGCTCAGAGTCGTCAGTTGAACCAGACCTGAAATAACAATGCTTAAAAGAATGATAAAAAACCTGACGGATTTTTCTGAATGCCATGCGAATATTCCTGATGTTCCTTTGCAACTATGCCCTAAAAATATTTTCAATTGATGAAATTTGTAATCGATTACGAGTTGAGAAAACAAAATCTAGCAAATCTATCTCTCTTGAAAGACGGAATAGTCAAAAAATACGAGAAAATTTCTCCAAGGAAACAACTCAAACCACGTCATTCTAAGTCCAGTTAATGAGAACCTACAAAACTCATTACGAATCAGCAGCCCAACTCACCCCGAGTTAGTAGAAACTGTAGTGCGATCAGAATCAATAAGTTCGCTGCGGGTGGAGGACGTGGCAGAAAGAGTGGAGGAAGTTGTACTAGTGAGAGAATGGATGGTGGAGGCGGCAGAAGCTGTTGCAGAAGGTCCACGATGGGGAAAGTTTACCCACGACTCCGGCATTCGATGTTGCTTTGTCACGTCTAAAGAAGAACAAAAAAACGCCGGTATGAGAAGCCAATAGCAGGAGTCACAAACAATAAACCAGTAAATGGGAACCTGTTATCATAAAATGAATTCGTGCCACTCAAGCAAACGGGGCAAATAAGCTTTAACAATTGAATCTTTAAGAGCGTTCAAATAATTTATTGGATGATCATAAATTTACTTGGGCTCTCATAGACTCTAATGTTTAAAGCAAAAAATGAGCACAGCAATTCAACCTGGATAGTGGAACGCTTCGTGAGTGGTGACGGAGGAGAGCGGCGTGTGTTGTTGAGGAGGCCGGTGAAGCTTGCCACTGCCACTCGGGACAGCGGGGCTAACTGGCGGCAGCAAAGCAGGACTGCTTGGTGTCGAGGAGTTGCAGCTCGAAGTGTTTGATGAGCTCTCTACACCCTGGTTTTTAGCAATATCAAGGTACAAAGTGAACAAAAGATAGGAAAATCAAGATTTTGAGCTACAATACTTTCTGTACCTACTAGGGACGAATCCAGAACATTGATAATTCTTTATGATCATGGTTGCTTCAATATGGAATACAGCTCCACCATTGATGGGCTAAACCTAAAAGAAGAAACTGAATTTTGTAACGGGATATATGTCAGTTAGTTGCCATCTACTTCTTCTAAACGCGTTTTTATAACCTTTTACATTCTCACTTGCAAAACAACCTGGTCTTCATTCATTTTACACCAGTAAAAAAATTTACTTAAATATGTTAACTTTTGCCAAAAGAATAGTTCACCAGTTTATAAAGAACCAAAATTCTTATTTATACAAATCAAATTGATGTAGTTTCAATCTCTTTCGTTATTTTCATTAAGCCTGTGGCTAGACCATCATGAATGTAACTAAAAATTAACAATAAACGACGTAGATCATCGGAAGAGCATGAGACTGAAACCATAATCCTTTAAACAAAATGGAGAAGAAAGAATACTCGGCACAATGAAGAACAAGAAAAAGAAGACGATACCATCAGAGCAAAATTATATTATTGAACTCAAAAGCTATGGCAGGATTCAACCTTTAAGTGAGCGGAAATATTACATACTAATGAAAAATATGTACTATCAAGGACAATCCTTGATACCTTTCATTTTATTTTAAAGACAAGCTAAATATAAATGGAATGTTCACTTCTAGCAACCAAAATTAGCTTGTGGTCTCATCATATGTAAGGGTACCCACACAGTGGAAGCAGGTTGCCCGTGCGTGCAACCTACTCCAACAGCCACAAGAATGAACATGGATAATAATGTAAGTGTTCACAGTGAAAACCTGTACGAATAGGCTTCTTTATTCTATGGTTTCAGGCGCCAGCCTCAGCAGGTAACCAGCACGCTGGCAACCTGCTCTCACTATGTGGGTACCCTAAGCCAAGAAAATAAATCTCTCAATAACATCAGTAAGAGGAGTGATGAGATGATGCACTTGATAGCAATCGTCGAACCTGGCATGAGTGGTGCTGGTGTTGAGTGTGATGATGGGGCGGCAACAGAGGAGGAGTTCTGAGGTTGTCTGAAGGTTGGTGCGAAGGAGAGACGCCGCTAAGTCCCCCAGCGCGGCTGCTGTTCTGCAGGTGGCTGTTCACGGACTGCACAACAGCCAAGGCGTCACACATTAAATAGACGCTTATGAATCATCGTGGTTTAGAAAAAAACTTGGCCAGCAGAATTAGAAGATCGTGCTAGTACCTAGGAGTCTCGACATTGTAATGTAATTATACAGAAAGTTTAGATTAAATAAAATACTTAAAAAAAAACTTTTTTAAAAAACCACGTTTTTCTTGTGGACTAAAAAGTAGAAAATAAAATATGGCTCGCCCCAAAAAACGTGGGTCGGGCTGTACGTTCACCATCAAATTTTCAAAATTCGTGTGTTGTGTGCTTTTCGCTTTAATCATAAATCTGCCCGACACACGTTTTTTGGGGCGAGCCATAATTTATTTTCTACTTTTTAGTCCACAAGAAAAACGTGGTTTTTTAAAAAGTTTTTTTTAAGTATTTCATTTTCTCCTTTTTAGACCTACATAATATTCATTTTATTTCAGTTGGCCACGCAAATGCACGAAAGAAAATTCTTTTCGAAGTTCTGTAGAAAATTATATTCGAGGGGATACATTGGTGCATGTAATTTCATTTCATGCACCAATTGAATAAATTCCACGCATTTCATTGAATAAATACGCCTGAAAACGTGCAACAAATTATTGATTATTGTATTGTCATCGGGAGCTGAGCTTCCCTAAAAGTTTCAGAGCGCTAGCTAGCGGGAAAGTTGGTGAAATATCGATTGCAAGATTTGATCATCACAGACGGACACGAAAGCGAGCTAAGAAAAACGTGGTAAAATTGGTTTGACAATGGATCAATTCAGTTGACAAATACCTAATAGAGTTTCACAAGTATTTAGTGATCCTAATAATTGATAATGTATTTTTTTAAATATTATGTTTAGAGAAGGGAATAAAATAATATAATAACATGACGGAATATTTCAAAAAAAAACGTAGAAATCATTATTAAGTTTACACTAGAAGAAGATTCACGACATCTAAAACGCTGATGTACGCACATCCAGTCAGTGGGTTGTACGCCTAACTAAAAATAGGACACCAAGAAGAAAAATTATCATGCAATCGATAAACTGCTTGGCCCATGAAATTATTTATCATGAATTGATAAACTGCTTGGCCCATGATAAACTGCTTGGCCCTTAGTTTAATAACTTTATTATTTTAACATAAATACTTTCAGCTTTGCCAGAACATATGAGCTTCTAACAATATATGATCACCTTGGAACAAAACCAAGCATTGATCTTAACTAACCTCAGTGAAAATCTTTAGGTATTCATGCGGCAGGCCACATGAAGGAGGGACGCTGGACTCGCACTCGCGGTGACACTTGAAGTTGCATTCTTTGCATCGCAGACCTTAAAGATAGAACAAGCTTCAGTAACTGATAATGTGCAACTCTAATACGAAACTTATGATTAGAAAGGCCATTTGCAGGAATAAAGAAGAAATGACATTGATGGACAGTAGATGAAAAATAAGAATGGATGACAATAAGAAAAATAAGAATCGAGTGACTGTCTTAAACTGATTTCCCCCCAAAATTGAAGATGTCAGGAAATATTTGCTTCATAATTTATAGCTACCAACTACAGAAAACCTATCATAACATAATTCTTTCATACGTATGAAGTATTTCATACGGTGAGACACGAGAAGTTAGCCGCTGAAAAAGCAAGCTTTTCTCAAAGCAGCATGAATAAGTGACTTTAGAGCAATAGCTCACAAGCAATTTGTTTGGTAGCTTGCTATTGTCAAGACGCCCATTATCTACGACCATCAATGAAACGGTCAAAATATGGCATTGCTTACCTCCTAGAATGGGAAACTTTTGATGACAATAGCCGCAGGTGGCAGGCTTGATGTTGATGCTCTTAGTGAAGCGATGCTGAACGTTGTGCACCATCGAGCCTTGCAGAGGAGGCGTGCGCGGTGACCGGGGCACTGATGCGTCTGCAATGACATCGTGTTGTTAATACTTGCAATAATTGACAGAGATTAATTCGAAATAAACGCGGTGTAGTGCTAAATTTTGTCATCACGTCAATTGCTTTACAATTGTAATAGCTATGAAGCAGTGACAAAATGTTAGAATACCTAAATAAAATTACTTTGGTGACAAAATATGGTAAATTAACTATTCAGTCACATAAGTTCGATACATTTTCCGAAAATAAGTGCAGTAGAAATACTATAAACCAATACTAACGATGTCCTTATCGCATCTCATTTTGATGACAGCTAAGCTGCATTTTAACATGCAATCACTTGCTATTTTTCAATAGACATTGAGCAAGTATGACATATGAAACATTGATTTGCCGCAAGGACAAATTATCTAGCATGTCATAGAATGAAAAATGCATCACAGGCCACATAAGAACTAACTTTTGTTGCAGTTGTCATCGTCTGAGTATTGGTGATGGTAAGGATGCTGGTGAGTGTAGTGCTGGCGGGTGGGGGACGCCACTGAAGCGGAGGAGTTGAAGGTCCTCTCCACCGCCGCAGCCAATGCTGGGTGCAGCGGCACCTCGCCTGATGACTCTGACTGATGCCGCATGTGATACCTGCATATAAATTTTCATACCATAAAGTCCTTGCAAGCTTCTTAGCATGCACAGGCTAATCACAGTTGAGTTATGACAATGAACAATGATACATGAAATAGATTTGAATTACATTACAGTTTAATATTGTTTTCATATTGGGTTTAAGCAGTCATGAGTCAACAACCAATATAAATTATGAAACAAAAGCTTAATTTAAATGTAAAATATATAATTTAGATTTTAGACGAATAAATCTACCGCACTTTGTTCACTGAATACACTTAGCTAATAGTGACCAGATTATAATTTTGAAGCTGTAATTCTCGTACGCAACCAGAAAATTAGGCATGTCTGGCAGGCACAGTACTCACGCCACAGCAGAAGTCTTAGGCGAGATCATGTGCAGGTCATTGGCATTGTGAGCGTTCGAAGACACACTGGAGAGAGTGTTTGAGGCCGTGGAGTAATTAGTGTTGTAGGATATGCCTGAGTCCGAGCCTTCGCGTGTGGTCAGTTGACTCTCGTGAGACGTAGACCGACCAATCGAACCAGACGTAGACGATGGAGGATTGATCAACAAGTATTTCTTGTTAGGAGGAGGTGTTGACACTTTTTTATCTGTGGAACATGAACGTCATTGTTCAGTATTCACTCTTTTTAAAGCACTCGCTCAAACAATACCTAGGTAAGAATGCAAAGTTTCACATACGAGTTCTTTCTGTCATCTCATTTGGAATGCTTCCTTTGGAGATAAAATATATAACTATAATGCTCCACGCAGAACTTACAATAGTGTGTTTTTGAGTAGAAAAATTATGACAGTTTTACTACAAAGGCGAAAATCAGGAATTAATTGAATATCTGAATATCAGTACATGTTAAATATATTTACTATCACTGACCAGGTGGCTTAGGAGTTTTAATGACGGGCGGGGTTGTTGGAGGCGTGTAGCGCAGATCGTGAGGAGTTGAAGACGGCGGCAGTTGGAGCGTCAAGGAAGGAGTGGAAGGAGGGTGGAGAGGACTTGGAGGAGGAATGTTAGGCGACGCATTGTTGGGGTTAGTGCTACTCGAGTGGTGGTGAGAGAGTCCTGTGACTGGTGGTGATGAAGGAGTTGATGATTCATCACTGCTCCGATGATGGCGGTGGTGATGGTAGGCTCCTCCGTGGTGATGGTGGTTGACAGTACCTGAAGAAGAGGAGAAACTCGAGCCGCCGCCTCCTCCACAGTAGCCACTCGCTGAGCTCCCCATGTCCGAGGTATCGCCATCTGAAGATGATACAGAAGACCGCGCTTCCCGGTGCGGTGTGTGGGGAGTGCTACGGTGCAGGGTGCGTGGGGAGGAGGGGCATGAACCCCGCTGCTGGTGATGATCCCACGAGTCCCAGTACAGGGGCACATCTGACTCAGAACTGTTGCTGCCACTGCTGTTGTTCATCAGACTTGCTGTAACCAAATCAAACCATCAGAAATGGTGAAACCCATAAACATTGCTGTCTGAATTAGGCTTGTTCACCTCTGACCTATTGCAAATTTCAGGAATACTTTGCAGCAAAGTGAACAATCTGAGATTTCACAAGAATATTTAATGTAGGTACTACACAAAAGAAACCAGCAACCAATACACTGACGTTTCTTAATACTTAACAAGTATAGCTAAAAACCATACATCAGGGGCTAATAAGAACTAGAAATTTAACACAACGGTTGAGTGAGCTGCCACTTATAATATCAAATGAGTAATGGCTGCAGTTTACACCTACATCATTAAGTGAGCTCAGTTACCTGTATATCGGCGCAGGTTGTGCAGTGCACGCTGCAGTTTACACCTGCATCATTAAGTAAGCTCAGTTACCTGTATATCGGCGCAGGTTGTGCAGTGCACGCTGCAGTTTACACCTGCATCATTAAGTGAGCTCGTTACCTGTATATCGGCGCAGGTTGTGTAGTGCACGCTGCAGTTTGTTTGTCTGGCCAGAAGCACCCATGACAGGACCCAACAACGTTGCTATCCCAGTTTCCCCCAAAGCCAAGAGCTCTTCCAATGTTGAAATTCCATGACACACAGCCTGTAAATTACAAACGAGATGAAATACATTGACGTAGAAGCAATCACAGGCTGACTTTGATATATCATGATGGCTTCCACAAGTATCCCTATTGAATGAACAAACTAGAAGTTAAATTGGCTTTTCACTTTTCAACTTGGCAACTACTAATATTTAAAGTCTTGCGAATTAATTTCTAACAATGATAGATTTTCGGGCTGCATATATTTGCCTGACAAAATGTTGATTTTATATCTAATAACTGGCATTAGAATTTTATGTTTAGGATTTGTCATAAAAAAAATTAGGACTAAACTCCTCATTATCAAAATCAAATGTATAATTTGGTAGTGCATCAGGAAGTGCATCAACAAAACCATTTTCTGTGTGAACTTGTGCCCACTACCAGCTTGATTTTCAAGGAAACAGTAACAAGTGATGCGGTGTTTCATCATACATCACATTAAAATTTTTGAGTATTGGAAAGAACAGTCTTTGATATTCTGCTGTTAAGATATTTCATTATTCAATAATTTTATCATAGTGAAACTTTCATTCAATGCTGTATTGCTGTTTCAAGTCAATGATGCAAAACTTTCATTTTTTTAACACGTGTGGAAATTAATGAAGACCTAAGTAATAATTTTCCTGTGCTTTCAGACAGGCCAATAATGCAAAAAGATGCCTCTCTTTTAGTTGCATAAAAAAATTTGGGCCATGAAAGATTAATACTTGGAGTCAAATACTGTAAATAAAGCAATTGAGATGGGGGAGTTGAATTAATTTTCAAAAATCTATCCAAATATACCCCAATATCTCATGTATTGTGCCCGAGGTTACATAAACATGCTTCTGCAAGTTGTGCTATCATGCGGTTATCATCCCATAAATAATAACCTGACTCGCTACAATGCTTCAGAAATAAGGGCATTTGGAAAGAAGCAGCAGCACAGATATTAAGATGAACATATTTAAACAAGTACCCTATATAATATCAGTTCTACAAAATTGCATAGTAAAAAAATTCATTTTTACCATACAAATGTGTGTTCACATTTCACACTACAAAACATTTCTAAAATTGAAGTTGGTCCTTCCTTGCAAAATAAGAAGAGTGAATAGAATAAACAAAAATAAGAAGAGTGAATTTTTTCCATTTCAATGCCTGCACACAAATCGGTTAAAATCATAATAATAATAATTATGAGTTGATTTCAATTGTCAGTAAACCAGTAAACTAACCAAATAAGGGAAAAGTTAGTAGATGACAATAGCTGTAAAAACTATGCTTACTTTGTGCTAAAACTTAAGCCAAGATGTTTGATCCATGAACAAACTTCTGAGAAAAGTTTATATTAACTTTGAATTTGGTCAGGTGAGGCTAGTCTTCAAAATTGGCTTACAAGACCATTGGAATGGCAATATTATACAACTACCTATATATACATACTCATATACTTTCAGGACGACATGAAATATCATGATTAAAGAGGTGAGAATTATTCAAATTCATAAGACAATAATAGATCAGTATTCATATTATCAAATCATGTATAGTACATTAACTAATTGTCACCTGAACAGCCTCTGGTGTCAGTCCCACAACAGAGAGCCATTGCTTTAGACATGGAAATGCATTGAGCTCATCCGGGATCTGATGTACAAGCAGCCGACGCTTGCATGCCAACTGCTGGCCAAACAACCGCACCAACTTCACCTGTTGTAACAAGTCTTTGCTGATACAATACTTGCAGACATCCTACATTCAGTAATAAGATAGATATAAATCAGTAAAATTGAGTAGGTATATAGGAATGCTCAAACAATTGAAGTATACCTATACTGTTCACACACTAATCACAATCAATTGTGTATATAGAAGTGAAGAAGCCAAATTTCACAATAGGACATACATTACCTCTAGAGCTCTAATCTCCTGACGAGTTATAGGAGCTGAGGTAGCACATTGGCTCCTCAGGCGCTGCAAATGTTCTGCCTGAGATGCAATGAACTGATGATTGGTACGGCAGGTTTCAAGAGCCCGGACAATCGGGTCTTCTGATTCACTGCCATATGCTCCATTGCCTGCCTCTGTACTGCCTCCTGAGTTACTTTTGTTGAACACCTGTTAAAAAGGTAAGGGTAACATACAATCTAATAATATGCAGCAGAATATTAGATCCTGGAATTTAAGAATTAATGGTTTTTATGCTTAAAATCATAACAAAATTCATCTTCATGTTGCTGAAATAATATTTGCAATAAACTTCATGTATCACATGATAATTAAAGAAAGGTATTGAGGCAATAGAACAAATTATTAGACACACATTTTCATTTAGATGAATTTTTCTTATTGCTTTCCTCAAACTAGCATCATATTTGTAGAACAGTACCACACAATTAGCATTAGAAGGTACCACTCTAATCCCTAAGCCAGCAGCAACAATCTAAGCAAATTGTTTCCCTGTGCTTCATAAAAAACAGATAAATCAAGGTGTTTATAAATCTTATGTATTAACATGGAATTATTATCATTACTATCAATATCTTATTATCTTTTGCATTATAAATCTCTCTGTGGCAGAACTGAAATTCCTTGTTGACAAAGAGAACTTCATTGGCATATGGCAAGAAAGTAAGTTATACACTGAAAAATTAACTAGACATATCTGTGCAGGGATAAAATATCATTTAGCAGCTACAATAAAACCTAAAAGTATGTCACATTTTCATTGTTAATAACATGCCAATGCTTAATGACATTTCAGTTGGCAGTTGCTAAGTGGGCAAGGGCTCATTTTAATTACTACTGAGGATGTTGGTATTTCTTTTATATTAAAAAAATTGTGTTTTAATAATAAAAACATTCTATTTTTATATTAAAAACCACACCATTTTTTCTTACAAATCTTATGACCATCTCACTCTCATACTTGAATACTTGCAATTACCTATTTGGTCAATTTGAAGATTCCATTGACTACAATACTACTTTGGTTCTCACAAGCATATTCATTCATGAAACATTTATGAAATAATAGGGAAATTTTCATTTCCATTTGTATATATAATAGGGATTCATAAATTATTTACTAGATCCCTTTAGTATCATTTAATTTGGAATCAATGGACGACAATTGAATTGTTCTACAAATGATTGATTAGTGAACAAACTTCTGAGAAAAGGCAATAGGGGATTGAATTGAAAGGCAACATTGAATCTTGGGGATTAATAAAATAAATAAAAAACTTTCAAAAACCAAGTTTTATTAATGGACAAAAAAAAAACTAACTCTTACATAATATCCTACATAACTTTAATCTTACGTAAGAGTTAATGTTTTTCTTTTTTGTCCTTTAAGATAACTTTTTTTTACGTTTTTTATTTATAAAATTTGATGACAGACAGAGATGAAACAAAACTAAGAAAAATATGATAAAATTAAAAATACTTTGTCATGTTGACTCATCTAGGCGTTGTTTCTATAAATTGTGTGAAACATTTTTTAATATTTTTTTCATATTCATAACTGATCAATATTTATTTGCATCATATTTATTGCATTTATCAATATTAGCTATTTATGCATCAAATCATGCACTTTAAATATTTTTTATAAAACTACTGCAAGTCTTGCTTATAAATAACATACTTTTTCTAAAAGACACAAGACGTTCAAAAACATAGAAGTCAAATCATTCAAGATCCGAAGTGAAGTCAGTACAACAGCATCTACAAAATCATGCAAAACACAAGAAAATTCATAGCTGGATGAGTAGACTATAAAGAGGGTTTTAAATTTTGAAATGAATTCCTATCATATACCTAAATCTCAGTGTGAATCAAATCTATTCATTGTGAAATAAAATTTGACATTAGGGTAAACGCGGTATATTCCGACATCGTGGGTAATTCCGTCACCTCTTTAGTTTTTCCTTTATATTAAGCTTTGTTTTAGTTCCATGCATTCGTTGATGGTTGAAATGGTGACATCATACATTTGCATGTCAAACTACTGCCAAAACACTAGGTCTTGGCCATCTAGCGGGAAAATATTGAGATCCAAAGAGAGACAATGCACGCTACCCAGTGAGATCATCAAAAAATGTATCAAATTTTACAGTTGACTTTGCTCTACCAAATAGTGAATAACTGTTTGTATAGGAAGAATATTATGGTTTGAGACTTTTAAATACGTCTGTGAATATATTAGGAATCCTTTAAGTATAGTTGTATTCGCTGATTTCAAGTGGTAAATAAATTAATAGATGATCAAGTTGAGAAATGGATTTCGACACATGAAAACTAATTCCGTCACAACTTGAATTGGACATGCACAGATCGTTCCAAGCTGTGTACAAAAATTAAAATTTGCTTAATTAAAAAGCTTAATAGTTGTTAATTAAAAGCATAATTAAGTAGTGTTCAATATTCATTAGTGTTCTAATTCAAAGCCGTGTTGTATTCCAATACAGCTCACACAGCAAATGGAATTCGAACACGTGGATGACGGCATTACGTATCAGTAGAATTTGAAGCGTGGACGGAATAGGCCTCACCACGTGTTGAATATTGCCGCACACAGTGACGGAATATAGGGATTTGGTAGGTTTGCATTCTAAAGGCTTTTAAATAAATATGGCAACATTTTGTGACGTTTCGTTGTTGCTGACACGTAGTGTGGTGTTTTGAGAGTCACATAAAGCAAACAGAACTTGAGTAACGCATACGGTTATTTTTTTATAGTTTTTCATTTCTCGATGCATCCTTAATGACCTTAATGTGACGGAATATACAGCGTTTACCGTACCCAAACAGAACTCATTATATTAGGTACCTATTCAGAAATCCATGGAATATTGGGCATAATTTTCAATAATTCCTGGTAAAAACTGTCATTAAAAGGGAATTTAAATATTTTAGGGCAAAAATTTGCAATTTAACATACTTTTCCATAAAGTAAATTAGGCAAAGGCCATAAAAAGGGGTGAAGATGACTGCATATAGGTACTAGCATTTTTGTCTCATTTATGGGCAACTTCTGCTCAATTTTCTAAATGTTCATTCACTTCATTGCTCAATGGTTGACTTACAAATTTGTTGACTTTGAAGCTTCATTCTGACTTAAAATACCAAAATTTAGAAAAAGAATAGATTGAAAAACCTCGAAATTAAATAAATCCTAATCCACTGACCAAATGTAAAAAAATTAAAACTTTGTTGCTCTAACACACCAAGTTTAGTATGACTCACTTTTTGTTGGGATATCCAAGCTTCGCTGCCGCCATCAGATCCTACACTGCTCGTAGCCCACATAATAATTCAATTCCAGCTTTTTTCTCTCTAGAGACGCGGCAGCAGACGCAATAATGCCTGACTGCCCTCATGCTGGGCTACCAAACTTGCCTTATCACTTCTAAGGTCCAGAAACGGCAATGTTATTTAACACTATACACGCCGCCATCATTGCTCCCACCCTCTGTTTACGGTAGAAACTTTTTTACCCTAGCAAACTCGACGTTAGGGTAAATAAAATGAATCAAATTTTTGTTTTGTTTTTATTTTCACAATTTACCGTATTCTGATTCTTAATTCTTATTTTATCATAAACCGGAATTAAAAAGTAAACATAACCGATTTTTGGATAATCATTATGTTTCATTGGGAAAGTAGTACTGTAACATCATTTTACGTTCTGAGCGGCGGTAATAGTAAGTTTAGGGTCAGCGTTGAATTGAAAAAAAGGTTGTCTCAGATGTAGGACATGAAATAGTTCGAACATCTTCCTGAGGCATCGAATTCATAACTAACAGCTCCAATCATGGTTCGCTCACCCACCCGGCCACCTGCCCGATTTTGGCATTCTGACGATTGATTGAGATAGCTGCTGGACTTATTGCCTGGTCCGTAATTTGCTAGGCATTTTAAGACTGAACATATGCTCCTGCATAGCTTCGTCTACCTAGTCTGTTTTTGAAGATGTTCATACTCGGAGCGTCAACGATGCTATCAGGGAGGCTGTTCCACATGTCGGTGACTCGAAGCGAGAAGAAATGTTGTCGCATGGATGTGTTCCAACGCTGTTTTTTAGTTTATAGCCGTGGCCCCTGGTGTTGGTTCTTGTTTCAAATTCTAGTAATCCTTTAAGGACCTAGTATAAGCCATGAGTATACTTCAATGAGGTCCCAACGTAGACGTCGATAACTGAGGCTTGGAAGCTTCATAATCTTTAATCTTTCCTCATAGGACTTGCCTTTCAAGCCCGGAACTTTCCTTGTTGCGCGTCTTTGAACACTCTTTACTAAATTTCTGTCATTTTCAAATTTCGGTGACCATACGACCTTTCCAAACTCTAGGTTCGGGCACACGACAGCAACAAACAACTGCTTCATCGTTTCGGCATCTAGGAACTCGAAAGAGCGTCTGATCAGTCCAAGTCGATTATTGGCTTCATTAACTGACCTTCAATATGCTTAGAAAATTTCAACTCATTGTCGATATTAACTCCTAAATCCTTTTCCGTTGTCGATTTCGACATCATCACTCTGTCGTTGCAACCGTGTCTTCTCATACTGTAATCTTGCTGTTCATTATTCTTGCCAAGGTGGATAACTTTACATTTGTCAGCGTTAAAACGCAGCTGCCACTTATCAGCACAGTCACCCAGCCTGTCAAGATCACCTTGCAACTGTACTTTTTGCAACGTATTCCTCACAGTACTATAAATTTTTGTGTCAGCATACATCGAGCAAACGCTAGACACAGCTTCTGGCAGATCGTTTATAAACGCAACGAATAGAATAGGCCCGAGAACGCTTCCTTGTGGCACGCCGCTGTGCACTGAAGCCCAGTCTGATACGGACGCATTAATACTGACACGTTGTCGCCTGCCTACTAGAAAATCTCTGATCCATTTGAGTACATTACTCTCAATTCCCAAAGACTTCAATTTATGCAACAGCCGCTCATGTGGAACACTGTCAAATGCCTTGGCAAAATCGAGGTACACTGCATCTACTGGCTCCCTTTCGTCCAGCAGGCGGGTCCATTCGTTCAGAGTCGACAAGAGGTTAGTGGTGCAGGATCTCCCGGCAATAAAGCCATGTTGACAGTCTGATAGGAGATTATTAGCAGTCAAATGGTCTATCAATCAATCCCTCACAACAGATTCCATTACCTTGCAAACGACACTTATAAAATCTAAACTGTAACCACTCGGCATGATTAGATATTGGCAAATACAGCCGTGTTCGTGTTTGACTATTAATAATTTATGCCATATGATGCGCTAGTTATTCAACTAATGTCTTATATATTATTATTTGCCCCCTTCTGAACATTCTCTTAATTTTTAACAAAATTTACATGTGCTTAAGGCAGGCAGGATGTAGGATGTAGTATGCAATTTCCGAATTAGTCCAAATTGAAACCAACTCTCTGCATCACACTAGATCTTTCACGGCGGCTAATATCGAGCTACATGCACCATGGACATTCAGAATCTCACTTTACAGTGGAAAGTTTCGAAACACAAGTTCTTTAAACCATTATGTATGACAAACTCTTTGCGGCTGCGGTGGCAACCAAATGAGATCGAGCATAGCTTATGTCAGGATATGATCTAAATGAATGTAGATTTGCCTCAATACTTTTAACTCAAACTCTGGACAGGTGCTCAAGATAACCTTCCAATGATCCTCAGATTTGTTGAATTCACATTCGTAATAATTACTTGAATATAAGTGTTGTTATATGAAACTTCTTTGCTATTAATAGTAACCCCAAATAATCTGGCAATGATTAAATTGAGAGAAAATCTTACCAATTTTCTCTTTGTAAAATATATATTTACTAAATTACAACGAGCTCGACGGTAACGACCTATACACTTTAGAGGTTAAAGTCAATCTATCGTCACGAACTGGAACTAAAGCCCAAATACGCTACCTCGGGGATTACCAGCACTAGTGTAAAAAAATAAGTTCAATGATATCATCTATTATTCAATAAATAACAATAAATATTTAAGGAAGTAGTTTTTCTCCGCTGGTAAATTAGCGACAATCGGTGACTGTCCCAAAAATGAAGAGTAGAGACGTGTCAAAAGCATGATGAGCGCGTATGCATGTTTGCATAACTATGCAGATTGTCTTCAAAATTTATACTTCATGAATATTCATCTCCATTACTCCAATAATTCACGCGCTCAAGATCTGAGTGATCAGGGAGGAGTTAATAGGAGAAAGGCATCACAATGTTTCCACCTTGCATGACAGAACGCAACCCATGGTTGAACTATATAAGGTTGACCCACGAGAAGTTCCGTCTTTCAGTTCAGCTTTCTTGTTACGTCACGTAGATCAAGAAACGTAAACAAACCCGTCATTCCCATGACGGATTGGTCGACTGGCTTGATCGCATTTCGGTGATTAGTTAATGCCCGTGACGTCACAGATCAGTGACGTCACAAGCGAACAACGAGCTACATCCGCAAAAATGAGCTGCTCATGGGTCAACCTCTTACTAGTTCAACCATGACGCAACCAACGAATGGGTTAATTACATTCCAAACGTGATGATGGATCAATGGCGACGTCTAAGCAAAGTGACGCCAGTAAAACTGAGAGGTTAACATCATACCTAGTTGAAGAGCTTGTTGTCATATGAATGAAAAATAGGACATGTGAAAATTTGCAGCATCCAACTTAAAAAAACGGATACAACGAAATTGTGGCAGGTATTACTTGCAGGTGAAACATTTTGATGAAAAGCCGGCACGCATTCTGGTACGAGGTGGCAATCACATTTCTTTTGCAACCCTTGCAAGTAACTTGTATAAGCCACGCAAACTCAGGAAACATACTAAGTAATTTTCTAGTGAATGAATTGAGAATCTGAAATTTGAGAGGGGCTATGCAAGTAATGATAAAGATATTAGTTAACCATTTTTATAAGCTGCCCGATCCATAACATGGATTGACACGACTCGTGGCTGAGTTAGCTCCTCTTCTTCTTTGAAGCAGCGCTAATGGTGCACCGGTAGGGCTGCATGAGCCTGCTGGCAGTGTAGGCAATGACAGCGAGCACCACGAGCGTCGCTACAGAGTTAGCAGACCACAAGTCTGACACGGAGCGCAGCTGAGATACGCTAGCACCCGCCACCACACACACGGCGTTGTAGGGCGCCAAGCCTGTCGTCAGACATGGATTAGCAACCATTATCGTAGTGAGGACAGGGAATATAAAAGCAAAGAAAAAACCAAGCAAATTCACCATAAACTTGGTGTTTTCTTTGCTTTTAAATTCCTTGTGAACTTGCGATATAAGCAGACTGATAATATAAGAACTTATATACATTTTGAACACAAACCAGAACCTTCAAACGATCAAAATTTCAGAATTAGTTAACTTTGCAATAAGTCAGACAAGTTGTAGAGCAAGACATATATATATTTTTTGGCACAACTGACTATGCTGTAATTAGCTTCACATAGGAATATGACAGATTGTAACACGCAGCATTAACAGTGGAAGATAAAGCATTTGATGAAAATCAGAGCAGAATTGAATTTGAATATTAACTCAGTGAATGGTTACTGACCTAATAATACAGAAAAAAAGAATAGATGCAGCGGCACATCAGCCACGGGTGAGGCCATGTTCAGGAACCAGTTTGAGGTCCCAGGAAAGATGCGCAGTGACAGCAGAAACAGAAAGAGTGAACTGTCGTTGCCGCGAATCTTCAGAGTGAGTACCGTATAAAAAAAGTTAATAAAGTTAAATTGAACTTTAAAGTTGAATAAAGTTGAATCACCATTGAGTTATTTAGATGATCAAATCAAATTAGGCAAATGCCATTGACATCAGGAGTTGGATTACTAAGTTAATTCCATAACACTAACAGAGGTGTTGCAGCTTATCACAATAAAGACTAATGTTCACATATTTTTACCTAAAATTAAATGGATTCCAAATCACTAACCCACTTTCAAAGATGTACACATTCATGCTCATGCTGAATGAAGCATAGATTATGCAATTGTAAAAGTACAATTGATTCTAGTTCATTGAAATGCACCAATGGCCAGTAGCTAGGATTACACTAACATTCAATATTCATTCACTCACAGCCACAATTGCTTCTTCTAAAAAAACCACATACATTGCAATTTTCTAATGCCCCACAACCTACTTTTAAAACAATATTCAGGATCACCAGCATAATTACATGTTTTCCATCTTGTAAGCATTACATTACACCATCACATACTTCAATTTCCTTCAAAATTCCATGACTTGTAAAGCACACATGCTCCCTCCTCTCACTCCCCCTGTACACGTTTTGACTGAGCATAACTGATGAGAGGAAAGGACAACTCAGAAACATGTATATTGTGGGAAAAAAATTCTTACTCTGTCTCGGAGTTTGTTTACTCTCTCTTTTTCACAGTGTATGAGGAGGTGAGACAGGGAGATGCTGGAGAGCAGATAACAGCAGGAGGCCCCCACAGCTGCGAGGATACATACCACTGGTAAGGCCACCCATACCCCCAGCAAAGCTCCACCCAGAATGTTCTGCACACAATAACCATGGTTATTCTGGCAAAAAAAAATAATGGTTTTGATAGTAAAAGGTACCAGGCTTCAACTTCTTCTTCTAAATATTTATATTATCATCAACACTAAGCAACATAATTCTAACAATCCACAAACTGGGATTTGAACACATACACAAACCATCATCACTTTTCAAGACAATGGTTATAAATGGGAATAATAATTTTATTTGGCTATAGAGAAGGCTTTATTTTGTAACATATATAATTCAGAAAATTTAAGGTTAGCGTTAGAAAATAAATTGACAGTTATATTTAAATATTAAAAAGAAAAGAACTTGGCTGACTAACCTAATTTAAGATTCCTATAGTATAGAAATGCTGATTTTCCTGATTTGGAAAACTGGCTGCCAATTCTATAGAATTGGCAATTTTGCAATTTTGACATGAGATATGTAGTTACTGGATTAATCATCAGTGCTTTGATATGCAACTTGCTGCATTTGAGGAGGATAAAAATGTATAACTTTAGAAATCTTCCTAGAAAATGCCTACCGTAAACTGGGGTAACTTTGACCGGTGGGGTAACTTTGACCACTTTTGGTTTTTTTAACAAAAACCCCCAAAACTCAAAAACCATTTGACATAGAAAAATTTTGTCAATGGGCATTAAAGACCTAATACTGAGGCTACGTAACACAATAGAAAGATTTGAAAAGTTTGCATATCAAATAGGTTAAAAAAATTCAAATGTGACCCACGAAAAAAAGCTATTTTTTAAAGCCTGTCAGAGTACCCCTCCAATTTTTTTATTTTTTGGCAAAATAACTCCAGGTTTTGATGCATTGTAGTAGAACTCTTCTAGTTACATATGCAAAAGACAAATTTGAGAAAAGTGTCATAGTTTGCAAATGGGGGGCACCGCCCCCCAATGGGGTAACTTTGACCACCTAATGGCAGCCATGATGGGGTAACATGGACCGGGTGGATAATTAATTTGAAATGACCATAAATAACATATTTTATGTCTGATACACCTATTAATGTATTTTCTTTATGTTTCAGACTCTACAGACTCTAATTATTGTTAGATATAGAGTTTAAACTTATAAGTATTAACCTTAGTTCAAGATGCCTAGGTCCTACAAACGTCCGAAGGGGGCTCGTACCTACCAGAATTACAAAGGAGATCTTGTTGATCAAGTAGTGCAGAAGATCAAAGAAAAGGAAAAAAGTTTGACAAAAGCTGCAAAGCAGTATGGCATCAGCAAAAGTGCTCTTTTCAACAGAGTGCATGGAAAAACTGTGCTTAGTCCTGGACGACAGACTATTCTCTCACAGGTAGAGGAGGCCCTGATAGTGAAGAGGACACTTCAGTGCAGTGACTATGGCTTCCCTCTCCAACCAATGGACTTACGCATCATAGTCAAAAGCTACCTTGATTCAGAAGGGTGCACTGTTCCCATGTTTTCTATGAATTTGCCAGGCCCAGACTGGGCCCTGTCCTTCATTAAGCGGCATAGTGAGATCAGCAAGAGAGTATCCAATGATATTAAAATTCAAGCTGGCACTCGTGTTGTGTCAACAATAAGCCAAGATGAAGCTGAAATATCTAGCCAATCCACTTTAGACATGCACCCTTCAACATCAAAAGATCTATTTGCATACGCAGTTCAAAAGAATGTTAAGAGGAAACTGGATTTGCTTGCAAAAGGAGATAATGCTGAGTCAGAGAGCACAGACATGGATACTGACCCAGATGAAATATATGATGTCAAGCCTACCCGCTCCAGAAATGCCAGAGTATTGACACCAATGCTTTCGCCAGCAGGCACACCATCAAAGGTGCATAAAGAAATACCCTCTCCTACTTCTGGGACCCCTACAGCAGGTAATACAGGAACAGTTAGCCATTAGGTATGTTTATTTCTTTGAAATATGTTCAAAAAATGAAAATTTTTTGCTAGTCGTGTGTTCATTAGTAAAAAGTTAATATTGTATTCCCTATACAGGTACACCAGCAGGCACACCATCAAAGGTGCAGAAAGAAATTTCCTCTCCTAGTTCTGGGACCCCTACAGTAGGTAATACATCTAACAAAGTAAAACCCAACCTTACCAAGAAACTAAAAGCAACTGCTCCTATCAGTGCCTCTGATGAAGGATCCTCTACCTCAACAACAACCAAAAGCAGTGCACTTAAAGTGGGTAGCTTTGTGATTACCAAAGTCTATGTCAACAACAGGTGTGACAAACATCGAAAATATTTAGCCACTGTTGATCAGTTTGATGAGACTGAGGTGTCTGTCACATTCCTCCATGCAAGTGAATCCAAGACTGTATTTACAGTGGCTAAAGATGACACAGCCTCAGTGGAGATGAAGGACATTTGTGAGATAATTGATGTGCCTTGTAAGTTTAATAGTAGAGAGCAGTATGTGTTCAATGCTGCTCTTGATGTAAGTCTGTAGGCATTAGCTTAGGTCAGTGACTCGATCTTTATTTACGAAAGGAACATATTTTATGTTTATGAAAAAAAGTTATTACATTTATGGAAGGAAGTTATCATGCTTATTAACAAAAGGAAGTTAGTGCATATATTTACAAAAGGAACAGTTAGCTATTATGTTTATTTCTTTGAAATATGTTCAAAAAATTGAATTTTTTTTCAATTTGTGTGTATTTTGCTCAAAAGTTAATATTGTATTCCCTGTAAGTGAAGATAAATAAAGTGTTTTGTTAAATACTTGCAAAATTATTAACATTATGGGCAACTTAAACCAAGATGGGATGACTAAGAACACCCAATGGGGTTACTAAGACCACCCGGTGAAAGATACCCCCAGAGCTGGGGTAAAAAAGACCAGCGATTTATTTTTAATTACATCAAAACTATGAGAGGCAGGAGCCAGCAATTTATGGTGAGTAAAGCTAGAGTATAGACCTGTATTTTGCATGTTTCAATTTAAGTTTAACTTATCTAGTTAAAAAATGGCATTATGAAAAAAAAAGTGGTCAAAGTTACCCCAGTTTACGGTACCTTATCAGTAATCAATATCATTGATTTTATGAGATATCTTGATTTTGCATGATAAGGGGGCATCAACCTATGAACAGTAGGTAGTGTCTCATGTGTCCAATGACAGAATTCCATCAATTTAACATGTATAAACTGATAACAAATTAGGAAAAAACAAGATAATTTCGAATATGAATGAACAAAAAAAAAAAAGAATACATTTTTCAACAAATTTCTTCATTAAAAATTTTGAATAAATACATACATGAGTAGGTAGTGAAAAGCTTCTTGAAGAATTGATATATTTCCCATTCAAAATTTAGACCACAATCTAATACAAAAAACTTTAAAATATTTACCTTGATAATAAAAACTATAAAACTATAATATTTACCATGAGGGCAGATCCTGGGATGGCAAATGTTTGTTTGTACACATAAGCCATGGAGAAGAGGGTGATGAGGTAACTGAAGTGTTCATCATGGTAGAGCTTCAGGACAGAAACTAGATTTTGTAGTTCAGGAACACTTGTTGGAAAGTGGAGATCCTGAGAAAAATGTGGGGTTATTAATTACAATATTAGAACATGCATAATACCTATAGTTAATTTAACTCTAAGCATAGCAGCAATTAAGAAACAGACTGTCATAGTAGTTAATCTCAGACATTCAAGGCAAATTTCTCAAATCAATTAGGTAACAAGCATTAGGTATGAGAAATGAGTACTAATTTGTTATCTTATGACTTAGGAGATGATTTGTACTAAGTAGTAAGTACACTGTACACAACTAATACAAGTCAATGCTCTGTATCTGATTTTGTACATATCAAACTTTCATAGGCTTAGCAGACAGAAAACAAGAAAAGGAGAAGTTAAGTTAATAAGAATTGAGAAGTGTTGTCATAAGAAGGTATGTCCTTATTCATTCAATGAATATATTTAATTTAGACAGGATTGCAATTAAATTAAAATTTCCAGTTATTTGCTTATGCCTCAAGCTTAAAAGTTAAATAGGTTAATTGAAAATACATCCTTACAGTTACAGCTTACAAACTTACAACAATGCCAGGTTTGGCCCATTCAACTTCAAGTTCACTATAAGTATAAGTCTAAGACATACCTTCTTCTTACAACACTTCTCTTTAACTTAACTTCTCCAGTTCTTGTTGTCTGTCTGCTACAAAGTACAAATCTTATAGCAACATTTAGTTAGCCTAACACACTTCTACGAGTTCTACCTTTCCAAAATTCCAAACGATCTGAGGTAGAAGTAGGTAGCTTAGCCTTAAGCTACGGTAGATCAATTGGAGAAGTGTGTTAAAGGGTAGAACTTAGAAGTGTGTACTGTGTGTTAAATGTTGCTTATAAGATTTGTAGCAGACAGGCAACAAGACTGGTGAAGTTATGTTAAAGATAAGTGTTATAATAAGAAGGTATGTCCTTATTCATTCAATGAATATAGGTACTATTTAATTTAGGCAGGAATGCAATTAAATTAAAATTTTCAGTTTTTGCTTGTGCCTCAATGCTTAAAAGTTAAATAGGTTAACTAAAAATACATCCTTAGTTCCTTACAAACACGCCAGGTTCGGTCCGTTCAAGTTCACTATAACTGAGAGTCTGAGCTGATTAGCTAGGTATAACAGCTAACAGGCTTTATTAACAGCAATAGTAATAGACAAACAATTGAAACATATAATTTCACTTACAGGCTGATAGTATTCGTGAGTGGATTTATGCGTTTGCTCTGATCCAACATCAAGGTCTAACTGAAATTCTAAGTCGTCTTCAGCAAATGCGGAGATATTCTGGGTACTGTTTGATAGCCTCAAGAGATGAGGCCGGTATGATACCAACGACCATAATGAGAATGAATACAGTAGCAACACAGATGAAATGATAAACACACAGCGAAGGATGAGCACAAGTAGAATCATATTTAAAATTACTGTAAAATCATTCTAAAAAATTTTTTTGCTTAAAAATAAGCAGAAGTTATAACTACGCACCAGCTGACAGTCTGCTGACTGACCTCCTCTAGTGACTTTCGGGATTGATTATATTTGATATTTCTACCGTCTACGTCAGTAAGCCCTGAAAGAAAACCCGGCATTGATAATTAAAGTACACTCATTTTAGGGATAATTCTTATTTTTGTTAAAACTTTAAGATAAAAACTGTTTGCTATTCATCTATAATGTTGAAAATGAACTGACAATTGTATGGGAGTTTCTATATAATTTGCTACGAACTTTCGTGCATAACTACTGGCGAACTGTCTTGTACATCACTACACGTTGCATATATTATAAATCTTTTTATGTATTTATAGAAATCACACACTTCTTTGCTCGCGTGGTTGGAACTAGTGATTGTTAAATAATCAATACAATTTAAAATTAATTTAAGACGACAGTTGTCTACTAACCATCGTCAGTTGCACAATGGAAAAGTTAATGCCTCATTAACACACAGCGAAGGGTGGCCCAGTGCCAGTGGTTAGAGTACCTTGATTGACGCACAGAGGCGTGGGTTCGATCCCAGCTCTGAGCGTCAATTTCTGGTCAGAATCGGCAATGAGGCCGGGCGTTAAGCACAGCAGAATTGTAGCAGTGAGTTGCGAGTTCGAGAGCGCAAAATGCTGTGAATGTTCTGCGATGTTAAGAATCGGCGACAGGCCTACGGCCTACTAAACGCTGAAAGCTGAAACAAAAATCAAAGTCCAGTGGTTACAGCTCAGAGGATCAGGATTGGAGCTGAGAGTTGCGGGTTCAAGCCCAGCTCTGTGCGACAGTTCTGGTCAAATTTGGCCAGGAGGCCGGGCGGTTAAGCACAGCAAAATTGGAGCAGTAAGTTGCGTGTTCGAGACCGCAATATGCTGTGAATATTCTGTGAAGGTAAAAAAAACGGCTACAGACTTACGGCCTAATAAACGATGTCCCCTCTATTATTATGTTTACAGTGGCCTAATCATATTGCGGGGCTATCATTTCTAAGGAACTTTAAAAAAATGTCCAAGTAACGGCTATTCAAAATAATTCATAAGCGTAGTTTTATTAAATGAAACATTGAGATTTGTTGCAAAAATATATTTTCACCGGCGAGTAAGAAACATTCACGTAATTTTTTTTTTAACCTCCGAGTCGGAGTAAACACTGCAATGTTACAAGGAAGAACAGAGCTACTCTGCGTTGGATAGCAGGTAGCAACAGTCGTTGCATTATTATGCAATAACATGCGCTTGCATATCGGCTTCTGCATGATATCCGAGCAGATCTGTAGTAACAATTACCAAACTTGGCTCACACTTCAGATGTAAGCAATAGTTGTGTGGCCATGATTGCGAGTAAGAGGCTTCCATTACACGCTCAGTTCCCATACTGACGTAGTGACTGTACTCGCTGATGAATGGAAATACGATCCTTTCAATATACATAAAGAAGAAAACGGCGACGTCTTTGGTCGCGGAACGCAGGACTTGAAGAGCGTTGGTGTTCAGTATATCGAGGCTGTCTCAACGTTCAGAAGAGAAGATGTGACGTTGAAACGCACAGTGCACCTAGTTGATACGCTTGATGAAGAAATAGGAAGCATTTTGGGAATAAAGGAGCTTTTCAAAATGGAAGATTTAAAAGAATTGAACGTTGGGTCCGCTCTGAATGAAAGCTATGCAGTCCATCAAAAGAGTTTCGTCTCTTCAACAGAAAGCGCAGAGTTTAGAGCCCCAGTTTGGAGATTTTTCGTACGGTGCGCCGGCAAACCCGGACATGGGTATCAGTTTTTAAAAAAAAACACTGCAGGAGAAAAATCCAAAAAGTCATAAACTCTTTCTAGAGTTATCGAACACAAGGAAATTTGTTGAAAATCAACCCGTCTCTGAAGCTTGGAGATGTCACGACTCTGAACTTAATTAACCATGCTGCAAGGTGGTGTGCAGTTCAATGTTGTCCCCGCCGAGTTGAGCGTCGGCTTGGACGTCAGGATCGCATTCAAAGAAATTATTCAAGAACTAGAAGACAAATTTTAGAAGTTGTATTGCGACACGGGCGACACTATGAAATTTCAGTTTGATAAGATACTGATAGAAGCACTTCATTATTGCTTTAATAATTTAGAATGAAACACAGCAAGTTGAAAAAAACACAACTTGGATAATATTACATCATTCAGCTCGGACAACTGAGATTTATCGGAGCAAAAAATACGAGGTAAATAAATTTAAATTTATATTTTTCGAATATTAATTCAGGACGATTGGAGATTATCGACAGATCATATAATTCTAGTAAGGATAGACAAGTAGTTATTAATATACTGACATTCATACAAACAGTAGACAAAAATAAACTCCAAATTTAGACAAGCTTCAACTCCAGGTAACCAGGCAGATTATATTATTATTATTAAATATTAGTTAATATTATATATATTACTCTATTATATACTAGGCAGATTATATTATTGTTGCAGATGAGTGGTACTACTGCACTGGGGTTGCCAAACTTGACGCGCCCGAGTACATGCACTTGCAGGTCGTACCGTCGCCGCGTACCACAGGGTCCCACCGCGTTCCAATAATATAAAAATGTTCGCAGATGTGTAATGTTATTCGTCTTAACCAATGCTCCTATAATTGGGGTATTAATTAGGTACACAGTTTGAATTAAGCGAGGTTGCTGGGATCTGGTTGGTGACGTATGGCAACAGTTGCAAATCTTTACAGGATTTTTTTTTTATTTTAGGCAGGAGAGATTTTGTCGAAATTAAAAAACGAACTATATATCATTACCTAACACAAAAGTGTTTGCGTATTACCTTGAAAGCCCTCGCGTTTGGTACAAATTTCAAAGTTTAGAAATGAAACCGTTGCCTTAGATAGCAACACTTGGCGAACGATAGCTCAAAACTAACGTAAAAATTTAGCGTATGAAGTTATTTCGTCTGTAGTGCAAAACATGCGAGACTGGCAGTGGTGCAGACGACTGCATACACCGACTCAGCTGGGCACAGGCGACACAAGCAGCGGTGCAGGCGACTGCATACACCGACTCAGCTGGGCACAGGCGACACAAGCAGCGGTGCAGGCGACTGGGCACACGCAGCAACCAGGTCGAGGTGCAGGCGAGACAAGCATCGGGACAGGCGACTGAGCACACGCAGCGACCAGGTCGAAGCGCAGGCGAGACAAGCATCGGGACAGGCGACTGGGCATACGCAGCCACTCCAGCCACCAGGTCGAGGTGCAGGCGAGACAAGCATCGGGACAGGCGACTGGGCATACGCAGCCACCAGGTCGAGGTGCAGGCGAGACAAGCATCGGGACAGGCGACTGGGCACACACAGCCAATCCAGCCACCAGGTCGAGGTGCAGGCGAGATAAGCATCGGGACAGGCGACTGGGCACACGCAGCGACCTGGTCGAGGCGCAGGCGAGACAAGCATCGGCGCAGGCGACCAGAGCAAGTACGCACCGGTGAGGGCACCGACAAGATCCCGGAGGTCAAGAGGCGCACGCAAATATAGACGACGAGGGAAGGAAATGAACTGAGATGGGGTATGGCAGAGCGGGGGAAACGAGTGGGGAAGGGGAGCAAGTGGAGCGCATGCTTTCTTATTCAGGATGAGAGTGACTTAAGCAAGTTACGGCATGCAGACTAAATATCGGAGTTGAAAAGAGTAACTGTCGAGTAAAAAATAACACAAAGACGAGGTTTGTGATAACGATATTGCGTGCGTGATGATGTTGATGAAGGAGCGAGGGTGGGTGAACGAGGGTTATGGCGACTGGAGGAGGAGCGAGGGGTGAGTGGATGAATCTAGTACGCATAGCAGACGACGCTGGCGAGCTGTTCGCTCAGCTGTGGCAGTTCTAGTTCAGGGTCGGTCTCGCCGTATCACCGGCTTGATATTCTGTAATCCTGATCAGTGCATCTTTATGTGTAGCTTCTGCCAGCTCCACTACGACTTGTTGAAAGTCTTGTACGTGATTAGAGACAATAAAATTTGCTCTAACCCTCGGTAATGCATAGAATAAACTTGCTAGAGCCGATCTGCTGTTTGCAGGCGTTAACAAGTGGCTGAGAGTGCAGAAGAAAGCGGTGTGTAAATGAAAGGAAAGTGACATGCAGTCACGTGGTGTATTTTTGCCAAAATTCATTTTCGTGTGAGAGGTAGTTAAAGTTAATCAATATGCCAGTTGTTGTGAAGGTGCTTGCTCATTCATATATCCAAACAGAATCAACTTTATTAATTTTATATCAACCTTTCTATGTATTAAATACTCTCAGAAGACTCATACATAAAACATAAAAATAACTAAATAAATAAGGAAAGAAGGTAACCTGGAGATTATAGTTCTGTGGCTATATAGCCTATATTACTATTCCAATGCAATACATCTCAGTCAGGTCTTTTCACACGCAGCAAGAGTGACCATCAGAAAACGTTGAACTGCGTACGGCTCTGTTTGAGTAGTAGCGAGACATTGTATTGGATGAGGACCATTTTAATTATTTTGTTCTAGCACTATACCGCCTCTACATTACTAACATAGAAAACTTGTGGATAGTAGCCACGACTGGTCATGGGAAATACTGCACTTTCCTATCAAAGAACCTAACTTGAAAGTAATTCAGTTTAAATTTGTCAAAGATATGGTGATTATGCAATTATAAAGTAATTTTGAAAAGCAAATACGAATAAAGAGTCGAACGCGGTGTTCTTTTGACAGCGGTTTGCTCAGGAGCTAAGATTTGAAGTTATTAAAGGGGCGCTCACTAGAGAACCAACATGGTTCCCCCAGGCATAAGTAACATTTGTTTGAATGTCTTGTATTCTGTTAAATCCTGAGACTTTTAGTTCATCTTCTCATCAGACAAACCGTCATGTAACTATGACAGATCAAAGGCTGAAAATGGCCACTGAACAAAATGAATTCAAATGAAATTACTATGGCGATGTTCTAAAAACTCTCCTAAATTGTTTCGACTCCTTGCTCATGACGTCATCGTTCGACCTCATGGGGCCAAACGATAAGGTGGAGGAAGTAGATGGGGAGTCCGGCGAAGAAACTGAATATGAAGCGAGTGTTTATCTCACACCGGAGCTGAGCGAGCGCCATGTTGTGCTGGACAGACGGAAGCTTTGCAAGCAGGCACGGTTGTGTGATAGCACAGACAAACATCAGCTCAGCAAGAACAGCAGTCTTAGCTTCTCAACGGAAGACGACGAGTGCTATTTTTCCGGGGCTGAGGCGCCTTCGA